ACGGATTGTTGACTTTTTAGTTTTTCCTTGGACTGGTCGTAGGCTTACTTTTGGAAGAATTCATTTCGACTTTTAGTTTATATGATGCAACCCATCATTCCTTCAACTGGAATTGGTAGCAAAGTGTCTCTTGGACACAAAAACAACATTTTATTGTTATTTTTTGTAAGTGTAGTAGTTGGATAAACTGGCGGTAACCACTGTGTGTGTGCATGGAGGAATTAGTTTAGAAATTCCTCCATTGTGTATGGGTGTGTGTGTGTGTGTGCTCTGAACCATGGAAATCTTTGGTCCCCCGGTTCAATACTACTGTTCTCCTTTTGTTTCAGCTGTTAGTTGCAATGGCACACTGTTTTTCGGATGAGCCATTGATCCTGTGTGCACTATGGTCCATGTCCAAGCAAGGCTCGGATGGGGGGAAAATAATAATTAATCCTTAAATTATTTTTCTTTAAAGTTACAACATTAAACTGAGTTAATACTGACCTTTAAATTTGAATTAACGTACAATTTGATCAGTTGAGGCTGAAAAATAGATAAGTTTGAGTAAGCCGTATAATAATTTTTGTTAATTGTTTATTATTATTTTTAGATAAGTCTTCATTAGCATTAAGCCAAACGTGGTTATTTGATTATTATTATTGTTTTGTTATTATTATTATTGTTTTGTTATTATTATTGTCTAGTTATAAACTCTGTTTATTGTTCATAATGTTTGAATATATTCCTACATGAAGTTAAAATTAAGAAATTTGCTTATATTGATGATAATATTATATTTAATTTTTCACGCTCACATTGTGGTGAATTTATGAGAATAGCAATAGCTGTTTGGTGATTAAGATCCTTGTTAATGTAACACAATTCCAGGATCCTGGTTTTAGATCCTGTATATCATACCAGTTGTGGTTTTTTTCTAGCTTGTAAAATAAGGTCATTAGAGGTGATTGTAACTACTTGCATGATTTTTTTGCTTCAAATATTTTCAATGAGGGGTGGGACTGGGGAAAGCAAGTTTTTTTTTAGGGAGTGTGTGCATCCCCTAGATATGCTACTGGTTCCAACTTAGGTTACTTTACACCAAAAGGCCTATCAGTGACTTTCACTTTTTTTTCTCACAGGGCATACTCTAGCCATAGGTACAAGGTAATCTGAAATAAACTTTACAGTAAACCACACATACTATACAAGCAAACAAAATGTATCATTTCATGCTCACTGAAGCATGAAATTTCATGCTCATTGGAATATTGTTAAGCAACATCCAAATTGACTACCAGTAATAATATAAATAATAATAATAATATGTCGTTCTTATATAGCGCTTAATGCCTTAACAAAGCCTCTAAGCGCTTCACATTATTACCCCGGTCATTGGATCAAACACATATGGAACACATTAAACACTAAATGAAATTATTAAATTAAATTATATCTCCATAATATTGCGGCTAGTAATCAGTAAATATTATTTAAATTATATATCATGTATAAAAAATAAATTTAGTTATTCATCAGTGGTTGATTTATTACATATTTGTATTTCTTTTAATTTGATTATATTGTGCAAGGTTTCTTTATTATCATTATCATATTAAGACCATGAGTAAATTTCCTGTTTTAAAATTGTAACAGTACTGGGTTTGGTCTACAGGAGTTCATGCTCTTCATTGTAGACCTTCATTATTAATTTAGGATGAGGTATGAGAATTTGAATGATATAATAAAACAAAAAGATTAAATATTATACTTAGTATATGTTTTAAAATTATTGTTATTTAATCTAACCAATATTATTATTTTAATATTGACTGCTAGAAGATGTTAGTATCGTAGGCATCCCCATTCAGTATACAATAGTAACATCGTTATTTGAAAAGATATTTGATGAAGACCATATTGATATTATTAAATTATGCACAAAGCCTGCTTCTGTAGAGTACAGTCAGAAGTGAGCAGAAAGCGTTTTTTTTCCCCAACAGGAAATACACAATAATTTTTGGTGGGAAAATTAGCAATTATATAATCATCCCTTTGTTTCGTAATTTGCTTCTACCGGTGATTATGCAATGTCATTAAAAGAGTGGCTCATTGTAGCATGGAAGTATTAAGATATGGATTACATCTATGATTAAAGTATACCGCAAAATAATGTTGTCAGTTACACAATAGCTCTGACGTTATATATATGAATAAATAAATAAATAGAATCAATGTTGTGTAACACTGTAGTTTATACCTATAAATAAACATATAATGGTAGAAATAGTGCTCGAATAGGTTATACCCAATATGATGTTTACATTATTGTTCCTTTATTCGAGCACTGTTTATTTTTTTTAATTTCTTCTTTGCATAATACATACATTACAGTGAACAAATAAGTAAACATATTGACAGAATTACAAGTTAATATGATGTAAAAATGGGTAAAGTTTTTTTTTAAGCACTGTTTCTACCATTATTTTATTATTTAAATAAATTTAAAGTATACAAATATAATGTTGGAGACAATTGTTTATTTTTTCAAATCTATATGTATTATCTTCATTGCATTAATTTGTGAAGTCAGTACTCCTTACCATCAGAGTCTAAAAAATAAATAATAATGCAAATTTAATTTTATGGTAAGATAAAAGTTTATAAATCTTTAAATATTGCCAATTTATATCAATTTGTGATTAAATATTAATAAACATTTGATAAATCCTTTTAGGATCTCATGCTAACGCTTTTGAGATCTTGTCCGACCACCCTGTGAATTGCATTGTTCTCTCCTGACAATAAAAAAGAATAAAGAAAAAGGTTGTCACATAAGTTGAATGTGTAGCTATGAATTAACAGCATTTTTGTCATAGCAGTTGTGTTGCTGTTAGTGAAAAATGTTCCACTGTGATATTGTTGATGGATTAGAGAACAAAAATGGAAGAGTAGGCTCTTACTGGTATTCATAAACTACAGTACGTTGCATACATCAGTCCTCAAATTACATATGCCTTCAATCTCAATATAATTATTCTACAAGCATGTTTGAATAGAGTACAAATATAGATCTCTCCTCATTTGAATAAAGACCTAGAATGCAATTATTCGACTAGTGTTTCACATTGCTTATGACTAGTGGTAAAATTTGTGGTGATGCAATCAATTTTGCTAAAATATATTTTTGATGCTGTATCATTCTCTTTTTATTATTGTAGGATATGGTGAGCAGTTAAATGCAATTATAAAATGTATAATACAAATTTTGAAATACGAAATAGTCTTTATTGTCCAAAATATATGCAAAATATATAAAACATTTTAAGATCAGATGTCATTTTGGGGCATCATTCAGTTAAGGAATATTCATATGATTTCCCTACCCCCTCCCCCATCTACTATAGGTACTTCTACTGTATACTGTACACGTAATTCTGAGTGGTGCAGAGAAATTTATTTGGCTTAAAGGACACAAGAAATTAATTAATTTATTTATTAATTTATTATTTAATTCATTGTTGGCCTTAAGACGTACCTTTCAATTGGATGCCCAAACCAGTAAAGCTATTCCACATTCCTGATGTAAAGTGATGAAAATGTTAATTAATTTATTTGATGATTTGATAGTTTTTATATTCGCTACAAATGTAATTTAATTTTTTAATTACTTGGTATATTACTAATTATATATTAAATTGAGAAAAATTGTCAGTACCAATTAACAATTATATAAATATTCCTAAATTCTTATGCGTAGACCTTTAAAGTATATTGGTAAGGTAGGACTTTTTTGTACCTTGTTTAGCAAACCCGCCGCACATCAATAAAGCCAAAAAAAAAAAAAATTTTGTGTTGGCCAGTTTTTTTTTGTTTTTTTTAAATTTTTAACCAATAATGTGTTTATGCCTAAAAAGTAGAAAATACATAAAATACAACAAAGACCATTTTAATATATCTAAAAGCAAAACAATCGCATGACACTGCCGCATTGCCTACCGTTCAGCAAGATAGGCCTATTCCTGTGTTGTACTCAAAAAAAAAAAAAATTCCACTCAATTTCGTACATTTTGGGTCGGTCGGGCGTGGCCAACACAATCATTTTTTAAATTTAGCCTAATGATGATTTCGAATAAATTTTAACTTTATTTTCTCTTCCATCTAGATGTTTTTGGCAAAACCAAGTACTGTAATAACAAAACAAAATTTTATTTTTATTTTTATTACCGCCCTCCTTTGATGATCTTTAAACAAAGTTCGCGAAACAAAGTATAAAAAAAAAAACCTTGCCTAATAAAGGATGTTTTTACTGCAGAAATTCAAGCGTCATTGAAAACTGAATCGTTTTGATCTTTGTCTTTCTGACTTATTTGACCTTTTCAAATAAGCTATTCAATGATTTTTTTTTAATGATTTATACATATTTTATGGTGACAGTATATTTTTATTGGTTACAATTCCTTTCTCTGAATGATTTCTATTAACGATTACCATTCTGACTTGTCATTGTGCGAATAGCATTTTGAATTATTTATGCATTTTTGAATATTAAAATTCATGTTTGCATTAAATTACATCCCCAATTCGAACATATGTGGGTGTGGTCCAACGGGGGCCCTGGCCAAATATTTTGTTCCTATTGTATGGTGAGTTTTTTAAATACTATAAGCAACCTGAAAGCTGTCTCTTATACACATCTAGATGTGTATAAGAGACAGCTCATATTGAGATTTAGTTTGTGTAAAGCATCGTGTGTGTATGTTTGTCTTGTGTAAGGGATTGTCACCTACAAGTAGGACAGTGATATATTTTCGCTATTGGCAATCCTTGGCACATGTGTTGTGTGCCTAAAGAAAGAACAATAATAATAATTAAAAAAAATTGTTTCAAAGTGTAATTTATGTGAATATCTTAGCTAGCATGTAGAGGAATACCATTGAATTTTATTGATTAATAATAATAATAATAATATATTATTATTTCCCCAAGCATTTAATTTACTTTCTTGTCTTCCTTTTTAGGTGCTACAAAGATTGCAGCCTGGGTTTGTAGCAATTCACTGCCAGGAAGTTGGCGGCAAAAACTTTGAAACGGGAATGAATCTAGTCGACAATTTTGTTGAGTATGTTAAATTTTTTGTCACTTTGGTGCTTAGTGAGGTTAACTAAATTATAAAATATTTTCCAATTAAAACCTTTCAATAAAGACCAACATTTTCATATAAATCTTTATACTTAACCATTATATAGACTCCCTAAAACCATAATCAGAGTGGTCAAACTTGTTTGCTCCAATTGTTGACTCGGATAATTAATTTTTTATCAGCCAGTGAAATTTTAAAAGTAAAGAAGGTGGGTGTAACGCCCCTCCAATTCATACAATGGTGGAAATCAGCATGAAATATTATCGACAAGGTTTTGCCCTGCAGGGGTGTGGATATGTTGGTTGTGGCCACAAAGATGATTCTGAGGATGATAACCTATATTAGGAAGACCGGGAGGGTGGTGGTGGTGTTAAATTATCTCTTTCTATAAAGCAAGCAAATTACAGTAAGGTATGGTCCAATCTGTACAGATTTGTATGTGGAGAAAATAATTTCATTCCACTATGCAGTTTAGAAGATTGGGGATAGGTAGGAGGTCAACCCATGAAAATCGTAGCATCATTATGCTGAAGCGCGTATGGCCGTGGTCCGTGACTACCTAGTTGCCTAGGTTGGCAGCCTAACTGATTGATTGATTGATAAAGAGGCGCTTATAGTAGCTTCATGTTCATAAGGCCTCGAGAGCCTCTGTGGACACTGGGGAAGCTTTGCTGAAAGAGCCCATTGTCTGGGGTTCTGGGGGCAGCCTAGGGCCTGAAGCAGGCTACAAGTATAGAAACATGTAAAGAAAAAAGAACTTTTCTTTTATTTGAACGTTTCGTTTATTTTAATTCTTTTGTTTAATTATCTGCCCTGGCCTCTTGGCGCTACTGCATGTTCACATCATTCCACAATGACGGGCTGTAATGAACTATAGTATCGCGGTAACCCCTACTCTTCCAAAAGATGTAGTGGGGTTCTTTAAAGTGCATATGAGATAGATGTCACCTCCATTTTTTAGTCGGTATCCGAGAAGATTCGGTTCTACCAACTGAACCTGGATGAGGAGCTGCTCAAACCAGTACCAATGGTAAGATAGTTAGCGGTGCCCCTTGGCCACTCGACTCGCCCGGGATGAATTGCTTGTATGATGAGGATAACAATGCTAAGGAACTACTACAGTACTGCTAAAGTCAGAACATAAATAAATATGACTATAATACCTAGCATTATATTAGAAAAAAAATGCATTCTTTATTAAAATGAGAACCTACACCAGCAGGTGCGAAATATGCAAGGAATAAATTGATTCATTCAGAGCTACAGTAAGATCACCTCGTTTTCCTACAGCAGAACACTTATTAGCTCTGCACCTTCAACCTAGTTATTGGTAATGAGATGAGCTTTATTTAGCGTTGAAGATTTATGCATGTTGAGCTAAAAGCATTAAGTAGATTTTTACTGTTAAAACTGTACCGTTAATTTTAGAGTAAAGTCGCATTGAATCAGTTTTTATTATGGAAAATTTGTGTGCGAGAAACAATGTAACATATTTATTTTAGAATCAATAACAGCATTATTGACTTTTATTTTACTTTGGTGATGCCCGTCATCAATCATTTAAATGAATACTTTTTTGGCCTGAATAGCACTGGTAAAGTATTAAATTTTAAAAAATCGTTTATTTTATCATGCCTGTCACTTCTAAACTCTCCCCACAAGCCAACTTACTTCTTTCTTAAAGATTTATTAAAATTATTTTTGCCTCCCTCTGATGATATTCAAAAAGTATATTTCACTATAAGGTATAAAAGTCTTTACAATTCACTGTACAGCTATTCTAATATGCATGATGGTAAAAATTCTATGACTATATATTTAAAAAAAACTTATTATATTTTTAAAATCAGAGATAATTACAATTACTTAAAATAGCCTTTGCCTAGAACATGCAATTCCAAACTTAGCTTTTTAATCTATATTTGTACTTCACTGACCAAGGTTAAGTAAAGCAATATGTTTGGCATTGAAAAGCAATTAATTTGCGTATTATCTGGATATATATTCATATACATATTAGTGAGACGTACATCAATAGCGTTGTGCTGTTCGTGTACGTGCAAAATCTACTCAAAGCGTTTTATGTGTTTGACACGATCCTAGCAACTGACGTCAGTATACATGCTATGTCAATACAGAATACAAAAAATAGTCAAGTGTGAAGCTATTCATACAGCAACATTGGCTATGTTTCATATAATTTTTCATTTCATTAATTTGGCATTAATAACAGAATTAAGAAGGTCGGGTACGTTTAGGTAGTTGGCTTACGGTACAGACAGAACTCAACAATTTGTTCTCAATAGAAAAGTGCTTCATTTACAAAATAAACTATACAAAATAATTTTATTTATTAAATGGGTAGCCCTTTCATCATGGCTTTAAATGAAGGGACCCACTTCACACAGCACAACAAGTACCACACCGTAATTAGGGTTGAGGCAAAAAATATTTAGGTAACGATACTTTATGCTGGAAAATAGTACTGTAAGACTAATAATACTAGTATTTGGAGTGTCTTAATTTGACAATGGCCAGAAGCTCCATTTTCAATGCACAATTTTTTTTTGTTGTTGCAAAAATAGAAAAGTTACAATTAATAAAGAGTAACAGTCTGAATGACTTCATAAAGGAGAGATTTCTACAGAAGTAAGAAAGGTTAAATGCTGCATTTTTCAGATTTCAGCTTAGTGGTGCAAGTTCAGTAATGTTTCTTCATCAACTGCTTTAGTAAAAATATCCAGATGTTGAAAATGTTTCTCTTATGATATAATTAATGAAGTTGCTATTTTTACTCCTGCTTCTAAGAATATCCATCATTCATTAAATAAACAACACCTACAACTATACCAATCCTATAAACAAAACACAAAAATAACATACTGCACGCCATCACAAATGTGCAATTGGAATTTGTTTGACCGTTGAACAATAAGCCTGCTATTGCCCTCAGTGATTTCTGTTTACATGGCTATATTTGGCTGTATTTATATAAGGATTTGTACATACAGGGTACATGTATTTTCAGTGTCAGTGGAATTCTTTAAAGCAAGTTACTATTATATAAATGTCAACGTTGAGAAATTTCCAGACATGAGATTTTCAGTTATGAAAACCTAGCTACAGTTATGTCAAATGTTCAAAATGCACCATCAGCCACTTGTGTTCTCAGCCCGCTTGACATTGCCTTCCGTACTACATCATTCCATCATGCTCTTGATGTGGACTAGGCCTACTGTACAAATTAGTTGCACTAATAGTCAGTTAAATATTAGTGATGAACTGTTGTTTATGTTTGTAGAAGTGGTTGGTGCATCGTTTGTGGCTTAGACTCCCAACCTTGAGGGTGGGGGTTCGAAACTCTTGCTGTGCAAGTCACTTGTGTCCTTGTCCACCCAGGAGTATAAGTGGGTACCTGGTAGGTTCAAACACAACCATGCGCTGATTACAGCTGCAACATTATGGGGCATGACTGTGTGTGTTCCATATGTACTTGATCCAGTGACCGGGGGTAACAATGTAACAATGTAAAGCGCATAGATGTTAGTCTACAATATGCGCTATATAAAAGTCGACAATTATTATTATTATTCTGTTTGCTTGGCGTCTTGCTGTTGTAGTGTAAACAGAGTTGTAAGGAACAATTATACCGTAGGCTGTTGGCATTTCGGTTATCGTTTGCATACATGTATTTATTCTTCTGAAAGAACACTAGTAAAAATGCATACATAGAAAATAATGAAAGGGTTATTTTTAATACCTCGATTAGCTTTCAGCAACACCTTTATAGTTCTTCCAGGAAAATCCTATTTAAGTAAAATTTAAATGGATCAGGTAGAGTAGGCTTACTAAACCATCTGGAAATACTGTACAGAGCTTGGTCTGGTTTCCTTTATGCTAATGAAAATAAAGGAAAGAATTCAAATTGTCATAAACTACAGTAGCAGTTTCCCAAACAGCTAGAAATGAGTCAGTAATGTACTTGTACAGTATATAGTAGTACATACAAAAAATCCCTCAATGATATTTTGTATTAGAAAAAAAAAGCTCTATATTGTGTGAATAGATATAAATTTGATTGATTGAAATGTTTAGATAGGATATTATTTACCCTACTCTGAAAACTATCACAGGCATCTTTATCTTTTTTTTTACATTTTTTTTTTATAACTCTCCATTAAAATTTGTCATTTGTTGTTTTATGATTAATTATGGTAATTTATGTTCTTGGGTTTAGTAGTTATGCTGTTAAGAAATTCCAGAGCAAACTCATCTTTGACATATCTGAATGGCTGAATCAATTTGTCCCTGCATGTGATATTTATATGAAATATCTGTACTGTACATGTCATCTGATGTTTGGTAATAAATTACAGGAAGAAAGAGACAGTATATGATAATATTAGTTTAGGTTATGGACAGGATTTGTAAATGCTAAATAAAAATTGACTTACAAGCTAAAGTAGGCCTATTTATAGCATAAACAGTGGCTGGTGGGTTCGGGGGTACATGTCACTCCCCCATGGCAGCAAATTAGTTTCACTGAGTGAGTTAAAATACTGAAAGTTTTCATTGGAATATGGATACGTCTCCTACTGATTTTTGATTATGGACTGAACAAATTGTCATTAAAAAATATCTTTTGTGCGTGCCCTGTTGCTTTGCGTTCTCCATCGAATCTCGACAACGTACAGCACAAGTGTGCCCGGCAGTTAGTGCTCATGATTATTCTATTTTGAACAGGCATTTACAGAAAATGCAGGCTTGGAATTCATTAAAGAACTGATAGATTGTGATAGTGTACATTTTAATTTAAGTAGGCATAATTGAACTAGGGGAAGATCCTGAATTTTTTAACAAGGGGAGCACTCATTTCATATAGGCCTAGATGTAATATAATTATAATATGGGTTTACTCTACAAGTAGATGTGGACTCTGAATTATTTATGATGATGTGACAGCGAACCATGCTTAATCTCTTTTTGTCAGTTGGATTTTCTGGTTACATGATATTCCTACAACGCATGTTGTACATAATATATCTTTAGTATTGATGTTGTTAGTAGCTTGTTAACTTTAACTGCAGTGCTGGCTTACTGTATTGTCAACCAAGTAGAATTTCATTATCCATGTGTGTAGTGCTGATAACATGGTTTAAATGATGTGACCTTTGCAATAAAATGTAGTTAATTTTGATAATGACTGCAAATATTACTTCAGACAGTTTCCGCTACTCTATCTTTCATTGTTGTTTTTTTTTTCTTGGTGCAAATTATGTTACACAGCATAATCTTGAATGAATGATATTAGATTGGCAGATATTTCTATTTATAACCTGACTTTAAATATTACAGTATGTTAAATTAAAGGCAGACTCTGGAGAAAAAAAATGTTGATATGTTATACATCTGACTTTTCTAAGACACAAAATATGTTTGGCTTTAAAGTGATTATCTGTGACCAACAAAAAACATTTAAATTGTTTATTCTGCATTTTCAGTTTCAATTTAAAATTTGAATGAGGAATAAATGCTTGTGTAAATTAATGGTCATAAATTTTACGGTATATTACATTTTTTGCAAAGATCTGTTTATGTAATGATTATATTATATTAGATTGTACAGATTTAGTTTTTATATTTATTTGGTGGTGTAAAAGCTTCTTGGGATGATTTTTATTGTGGATATGGCACTATAAACTGCAGTAATCAATTATAAGATTTTCATAGTAAAACATTTGTGAATTAGTTTTAACTGAGTTTTTGTGAGCTATGTTTTATGTGAAAATTTTAATTATAAATTATTAAGTAAATAATATATAGATTGATTGATCATTTGATTGATTGATTGACTCATTGTTGCTATGAGTGTTAAATTGGTCAATTGATGTGGACAAATTTTTTAATAATAAAAAAGAAAGAGCGCACATAATAAATGTGTAAATAAAGTCATTTATATGTTTGGATTGTAAATATAGTAAGTTTAAATGGAGGAATAAAAGTAGGACATTCCCAAAAGAGACAAAAAAAGAAATTAATGTAAAAATTTGCTTGGTTCTCAGGAAACTTTTTGCGAGTGAGGAGATGAGCTGTTACAGAAGATCCCATGTGGTGATGGACAAGGATTATCAAGCCACAGATGACTTCACAGTAAGTACCCTAGTTCCTCTGGTATAAGCCCACACCTTCAGTGGCGATGGGCGTGGTCGGGCATCGTTCAAAATGTCTCGAAAGTAGTCCTGGGGGGGCGAGGCCGGCCCGAAAAATATGACAATTTATGGGTTTCAGAGGCTTATTTGGTAAATAGTCTACTACTATTTAGAAAATACATGTACCAGGAGTTGCCTTATACCTGGTGCTGGGCTTATAGCTGAGAAACTATGGTACAGTATATAAGAAACTGTAGTACAGTATATAAGAGGTCTTTTCCTCTAACTTCTAATATGTCGTGGATCCTGTGTAAACTGAGAAGAAATTGGTTTTCAATGTCCCGAATGTGCGGATATTTTCAGGAAGAAGTTTGTAAGCATGAAACTAAATATTTTTAGTTTTTCCAGTTTTTTTAAGGTAATAACTGCCTCAGATTTGAACTTTATTACTAAGAAATGTAAACAAACACTATATGACACCAAGATTCAATTTCAAAGTTCAATATAAATTTATTGCAAAATCTTTGAATGAAATATACAATTCATATAAAATCAGAAAATGTTAATAGTAAAGGTAAGATAAGAAGATTAAAAATAAGATTGATTAATCACCCAAATGGCAACAAAACTAACAATTACCTTGTAATTACCATCCACCATTGTTATATTATTTATTAAATTTCCATTGAAATGGAAACGAACTGCCTTTCCTTTACATTAAGAATGATAAAACACATACAAGAACACAGTAGACTCAATCCTAATTATTATAGAAATATAACATTGAATAAAAGAGTCATTTTAATGAGAGATTTTGCTTGAGCCCAATTCTTCTATGTGGACTCTAAGAAAGGGAATAAAATCAATTCATCTAATGCTAATGATATGTAGCCTAAAGGTAGCTTTTCTTGGCTTTTCTTGTGTATGTCGTTGCACGTAACATTAAAGCTCATATTACTGTGCCTTGGAGTTTCCTATTTTGACATCAAAACACACACAAAAAAATTCCCAATTGAAATGATTGGACTTTGCTTAGCTCTTTCAACATTCATAGTAACCCATTATCTCATGTTAAGAATATGTTACTAATTTTATTCATTGGATCCAGTTTTATTTTAATAAGCAATAGAGGCTTTGTCATTTATTTAACCATAAGATATGTATTATCTCGGAGTGCCATGGTTTTTTTTAATATTCGTTCCTTGTATCTCTTTTATCTTAATTGCAATGTATTGTTCATGTAAATTTTATTTATAAATAGAATATATAATGATTAAAGTTATGTTAAAGTGCTAATAATATTTAAAAGCATATACTGTAGTTCCTCCCCCTACTTTACACACCACTTTTTTTTCGGGCAAAAGCCCAGGGTGAAACGAGTAGCTGATTTTTTACAAATAATCTAAAAAAATATCAAATATTGGCTTTGCAGTGATGAAATATTGTCTTTTGATTGAAATGCGGATTTTGTATTAAAGGGGGGATGAGGGAGTGATCTTACAGTTTACCATTATTAGTCATGGTGATGGTATAGTCATAATGACATCACATCATGACCATATATAAGCACATCATGACTATATATGGGCATACAACATTTTTTCGTCAAAGAAAATTTGATAGTATGGACAGACCTTTACTGAGATCTCATTAAATATTCAATGATAATATCTTGCATACTCTAGTCTACATAAAATTTATAATATTTACAATATTCTATTAATACAGTAAGATGTATTGCCTATTCATTTTGTTCTAAAACAAAAAGATTAAGATAAGACCCTCTGTTGCTGATAAAATATCACAGAGTATAGCTTTTATATTTATATATAATTTAATTCCACTTGTCAATGACTGGATGGAATGACCGATGCTCTATAAATAACATCACTTCATGAGAGGCCTTTTAGAATATAATACTTTTAGCTATAAAGCTCTGTTCGCGCTATAAAATTTTCTTTGAAAACAAACTGTATGCTCATATATAGTCATGATGTACATGGTCATGGTGTGATGTTGTCATGACCATATTTAGGCATGTCACATGTGTGTAGGACATGGCATAAGAAAAAAAAAAATGGGTGTCCTGTGTGGATAGGAACACAGGATTTTTAACAATGGAGCAGCACCTTCACTTTTGATACTGTGTGGTGTACCTGCTCTGTATTATTTTGCTGAATACTAGAGGTTTAGAGGGAAAGAAAGGGAGATACACTATGTAATTTGGAGGCACCTTAACCATTCAAAATGTTGCATTCATAAATATGTTAATGAATGTTTCTTCAGAAATATATGTTAATTAATGTTAAATATATGTTAATTAATGTTGTCTTTGCATTAAAATGTATTAAACAATATTAATTTTTGTCTTTCTCTACAGGCGTTAGGAAACATTTACTTTGTTCATGATTCAATAGCATCACCCAAGTATTACGATTTCAAAAGTAAGTATTAAACCTTCATGAATATTCATAAACTAATTAGCATAATAAATCATTCTAAGTAGTGAGCCTTAATGGTACTTCCCTATCAATTTATAGTCTCTGTGTTCTGATGGTTCTCTTCTATTAATTGTAATATCAATTCCATTGTCCCATTACTGATTAAAGCCCGATAATTGTCATTTTCTGAAGCATGCTCTTTGCTGCATCTATTATGCCCTATTAATCATATTTAGCCATTGATCATTTATGTGTAAGCATCCAATCAAGCATGGCCATATATTGATTATTTTATTAAATTACTGAATGCGTTTTTTGCTATTTGCAAGAAGTTAGAATGTAAATGTTGCTAAGCTTGATTCAATATTTGTAGAAGTTTCCCGGATGTTTGTGTTTTAAAAAAAAGATATCATTATTGTCTTATTAAATGGCATATAATTTTGTAGCAGTGTTGTCAATTTGTAGGCAGTCTTATTTTATTGAGTGCTTTTGTTTAATTTTTTTTTGCCATCTATAATATTTTTGCACCCAAAGATACTAAACACATCGCATAAGGGCAACAAACCTTGGCAATATCTTTGCTTGATTAGTAATAATAATAATAATAGTTCATTCTTAATCTTGTATAGTGCATATAAGCAAACTCTCAATGTGCTGTACATAAAAACAGAATATTATAATTTCACACTACATTACCAATGTAGTAGTTTATACTCTGAAATATAATTTGCTTCAGATGTTTAATATTAAAAGTGACCTTAGTACACACAGGAACAAATGGATAGAACATCTTCTTCATCTTGTAAATTTCATTTCGTTCGTGATGTTTAGGATAATATTCAAATCCCTTTCCAAATCCTTTAATGTGTTTGGATTTCATAATGAAGAAACTGAAATAATGCCATGGGCTAACCGTCTCCGGTATAAATGAAATTGCGCAATTGTGTGCAAGTGCTAAAATTGATTGCATAACCAGGATCATAAACTTCAAGTCTGTTATTCTAAGGGAATGCCAGTCTCAGCATCTTCAATGTTAAGATAATATTTGCTTTGGCTTTTTTTCTTTTTTACATTATCCTTTTAAATATTCACTGTTTTCGGTATTTATCATTACTGTTATGTTATATTGATGATGTTATTGTTATTATAACACACAACATTTTTTTTTTAAATTCTTTATTTGTCCTTTTTCAAGTTGGAATTTGTCGGAAATTTGGGCTGGGGACCCGCGGCAGTACAGTGCCACATGACTTAACTAAAACATTATATTGGATACATACATACGCGCACAAACATGGTCCGTAATTTATTTTTATACCTTCTTGACTTACCTAACTCTCAATGTGATGGTTATTCAAGGAGCTGAGTGACCCGACAAAACTCCATGGTTGGGGCTGAGCTAACACTTCTGGATGGCTGGAAATAGCATCCTCAGACATATAATTTGAAAATAATTTTCTTTTTTTTTCTCTAATTTTTACAATTTTGAAAAATTTAGAAGGTTGGGGGGTGGGGAGTGAGCCGGCTGGACCCCCACCTTTTGAATGTGCCACTGCAGTCAAATGCTCAACTCAATTATTAGACTAATGTTAAAACAGTTCATTTTTTTATATACACAATGTTAAATTCTTAATGGTGAACCAAAAATTGTGCACTTGATATTTGATATTTCTGTTTTATTATTACTAATATTGCTATAATAATTTAAAATAAAGCTTAGAAACATCCATTCAATACCCATGATTATGATTATTTGTTGCAGAAAGACGTCACATTCCCAAATTTGGATATACTATCCAACAATACTGTAGATACTTATCAGTTATTTTATTGCCTTAATCAAAAAACATATTTGCCCATATTTGTAATACCATTCAGTTGAGATATTTGCTAATAATAATTGGCCTTTGAATCAACGTCATCTCCCTAAAGCACTACGTTCAGAAATACTTTCAACCTTTAATGCATTGTAATATAGTAAACATATAAATACAATTTTAATGGGACACTTGCAGTACCAAAAGACAAGTGTCCCTAATGAGTAGTTTTTTGTGGTGTACCTTCTTTTTGTTTTGCAGCTGAAAATGGGAAATCAGGAGGGGGTTCTAGTATATGAAGTAGCTATGAAAGGGCTTGAAGATAAATATTGTAGTATAAAGGCCTGAAAAAAATCAAATATTAAATAGTAGTATAGGCTTTATGAGTGCCCATTACAAATTTTATTTATTACATATTGAGAAAATCAGTTACAAATCATGAAATGGCCAAAGGTGCCAAGAGGACACCATGGTCTGAGAGCCCAACACAAGATGTGGGTATCCTCAAACCCCTGACCAGATAAACATACAATAAATTACAAAACAGTATAGAGGCAAAAGACAAATACATAACAGATTAAAATAGCCTATAAAGAGATTAATAAAATAGATAAAAAAGTAACAGATAAAAGTTATGTTTTATTGTACTGTCTATTTTATTATTGCTACATGTAATAGCCTTGTCCCCACATTGTATAAGCAAGAACATTTTAATACTTTATGAACCTAAAAACTATGTTCACTACCATTCAATACTCATAATTATGATTGTGTATTTTATATGTCATCTGAAACCTAGAGACATCTATGACAAGTGGTTTAGTTTCAATCCTTTTGGGTTTTCCAATGATGTCTGAGCTGTTTTATTTTTATTTTATGTTATTTGTATGTCATTAATATGTTTTTACTATATGCTTAACATAGATGGTATATGATATTTTATGGTGTATCATCGTCATAAGATCATCCCTAAAGACAACATCATTCTCAAATCATAAACTTCCCAACAACATTTTTATTCCAATCAACTACAGTATTAGATTGGCATTATAGTAGAAGTATTTCAGCTGTTTGTATAGCAATAGCTATTTTTGTTTTACCTGTATTGTTATTGTTATTCAAACTTTATCTCAACATTTATAATAATGGTGCTATAAATTTATGCTTCAATAAATATTACATCAGTGTCTAGAGAGTGAAATATTTTCTCAATCCAATGTATTTTTTAATTAAAGCTAATTTTACTTTGGCTTAGCTTAAACTTAAAATTAAATACAAAGTCAGCTAATTCATAATTAATTTTATTTTTTAAAGTATATATTAGCACAAGCTGCTTTCAGTTTTCTATAATTTAAAAAAAAAATTCATATATAGTACCAGTTTCATCCAAACATTGTTTTAAGGGAGCACAAATAATAATAGTAATATAAATTTGTTAATACTTCAATTCAAGGTTACAATGTCAGTGTCTGGGTAGCAAAATACTTTCTTTCTGCAGTAATATAATTTTCAGTGCAAGTATAATTATTTTAAATATAAAGCATTTTATGCCTTTAAACTATTTGTTTTTTCTATCATCATGGTAAAATGTGCAATTATATTTCTGTGTTTGCCAGGATCGCATTGGAAATAAGTTTTAATTCTTTGGGCTTTTCTTTGTAATTTCGGGTCATAAATAATAATAGTGTAGTTTTATATAGCGCACATATCCATCTAATGTAAGGGCACTTGATATGTGGACAAGGAACTCGACTAATGACTTTCTTCGCCCCTAAGGGTCCCTTCGTGTCTGTGCTACCCGGTAACCCGGTACCAGCAACTCTCGTCGTTCACCACAGGGGCTGTCTGTTCCAGTACACCAGGGTGTTCCAGTACACCGGGGTATCCCCCTACTCGTCTCGAAGGATGTACTGTGTTCTTTATAGTGCACACAAGCCATTGTATACACTGGGCCTACGGTTTATAGTCCTTATCCGAGAAGACTTGTTCAGCCACCAGAACCATAGGTGAGCGTGCCGTTCAAACCAGCTCCGATATTATGGCTATAGCTTACGGCGCCCCTGCTCTCCGCTCGGCCATTCGACTCACCTCATGTTTTTGTGCAATTTTTATCTTTGTTTTTTGTATCTCGTTTTTATGTATATATTTTATGACTCTTAATACAAATAAATTCAATCAATCAATCAATCAAAGTCAGCACGACTTCATATATTATTTTTCAAATGTACTGGTATGCTCAAACAAGTGTATTTTCAAGAAGCAGTTTGATCAAGTAATGCACTTCTAAAGCTATGATTACTGTACCATGGTGGACTACAGTTTTCCTTTGATTTTCATTCAGTCCAACAAAATCAATTTTGCATTCAGATTGATTTCTTAGAATTAATCCATGGCTGCAATTTCCTTCAATTCAGTAAATGTTTGATGATTTTCTGAGAATGAGATTTTTGATTGCTAATGGGTTAAAAATGTCCTCAGTTTTTCTATTATTACAATTGATTTTTTTTAAGGCAGTGGCTATTATTATACCAGTCTTAAACCAATTCTTAATTCCCTTTTTAAAAAATATTTTCAAAAATTTAGGGTGGGGAGGCAGGCCAGTAGCTCCTCCCCTCCTTGAATCCACCTATGTGTACCATGATTGAGCAGTAGCTCCGCTGCTCTTATAACATTTTTGGAGGCTTTATTGAGATAATTATTCAAGAAGGTGATTATTATTCAAGAGCAGCACTTATATACAAATTTAAAATATTAGCCCGTCTGACTTGTTGAAACGTTCAAATTATATAATCCATGTGTAAAATTCTGTGATTATTATTCATGTTTAAATTTAATTAGACGGTTAAGCTATATTTTGTTTTTGAAAGGCTATATACAGTAGCCTAATAAGTAGCTTAGATTAGCACATTTTTATGTATTACAATAATTTTTCATATTTTGTATTTTGATGTTTAAATTTTTGTTTCCTAATTTGGTTTTAGTTTCCTTTTATTTTCTGTCATTAAATATTATTCTTTGTTTAAAATTAGTTAAGTTTGATTATTATGTCAGTTACAGCATTGATGAAAAACACCATTGAGGTGATCAATTGTTTACCGTGGTTAAATAGTTTTTATTATTATTATATTATATGTTCTTCAATGTTCTACTTTGCAGGTCGAGATTTCAGGGAATGTAGAGGTCACATGAGATTTATGGATAACTTATCAAAAAGCACTTGCCACGAAAAGATGAAATTTCCCAAGGATTTATTTCCAGAGGTAGGAACCGTGGTGTCACAAAAAATGTATGAAAAAATAAATATACATAGGAATAGATGGCTTGGGATGATGTATCTATGTGTGCTAAATTAAATTAGTATTTTAATTTTCATAAAATATAAAATATAGGTTTGGCCTCCAGGGATTATTGCAAATATTATTTTACATGGTGAAACTGCAGGATTTTTGGTTTCATTATCATTTTTAGTTACGCTTGTAAACTTGACAATGGTGAAAAATCCTAATGAGTAATAATATTTAAATATTTTTAAGAAATAGAGTATGGTCCCTCATTTGGATTTGAACCTAAGACCACTGATTGGCGGTCAGTTGTGCTACCAACTGATCTAACCTAGTAGCTCTCTTGGAATGTCCCTTATGGAGACATTTTTTTCTCAATGTATTGCATAATGTTAAAGTCATATGCTAGCGGTGAGCAGATTAGCATTAACTTAATCAGCTATAACTTGTAGTAGCTACTTTCTGTGCACTCAACTATAAAGATTCTTTAGGATATTGGGTCCTACTCTCATTGTGTTATAGGCTGAGGAATACCGGTAAATGCAAGGTTCTTTTAATAGCACACTGACTTATAGAAAAGAGACGTATTAAGTCCTTGTTACCCTTTAACTAAGGTAACAAGGAGTTGGAAAGAACCTTTTTGCCCTTTTAAATCATTATTAAAAGTACCATTTGTATGGAAATTGTTGAAATTAATTCGAGACATTCAATGTTTGGTGTTTTTTTAATGTATTGAAGTGTCATCTCTAGACATCTGTTGTGTTATATCCTTAACATTTTCCTACCATAGTGGTGAAGAGGTGGATGTGAACTCTTAAGTGCACTTTTGCGAAAAATTAGAATCCCACTTTAGAAATTTTGCCTATAGGCTTAATATGGCCCATGTGCCCATTAGGAATGTAGTAATATTCTTTGAGAAAAACTGGGGAATGTCTTCCATCATACTGTCTAATGTACCACCAGAAGGATATTATTGAAAATAGGTCTTTGAATTTCATGTCTTATTTTTGAAGTTTCATACACTAAAAATATCCAGATCATATGATAAAAATAAGTTTCTCAAAAACAAAAATTACAGTATTAACATACTCTCTTTCAAAATACTATAGTCTCAATATCTCATCTCAAATTATCTTCTTGATCAAGGCCAGTTCCATTATAAACCTAATGAAGCAAAAAGATTGTAAGATCTCATTTAAAACCTGATTAATTATTGTAGATTTCTTGCCTGCAAAATTATCATTCTCTACATTTATCATTTCCTTCATAATGTATTTCTAAAAGGGACCATCTTCAAAAAGTATGCGAAGATAAACTTAGCATCCCCACTAGCCTCAAATTTGTATAATAAAATATGCAAAATTCAAGTTGAAAGTATAAATTAGATTTAGAACAGATACCCTGAAATATTCTTCTTGGTTGTGTGTGATAAATATATTGCAAGCCTTTTTAGAGAATAGGAGTATTTGATTAGCTATTGATTAGATGCTTCAATTGGTGGTGCAATATTAAATATTCAAATTTAATGTCAGCCAACATATAATGTCATTCATTTTTTAAGTTTTTACTTGTCATTCCCATTTAATGGCCTGTACAGTTCTTCTACTTGTAGTATGTGGTTTTAGATACCTTCAACATGTTTTCTGAATTAATTGGAATTGATTTTTTTTTGTGCACCTTTATCAAAGAATATTTTTGCTTTAGTATTCAAATCAAATTTTATTAACAGTTTTGTCTGGCAGATGCTATTGCTATTCACTGATATCAATTTTTTTTTAATTCACTATCAGTCACGTTTTTCCCGGAAGGGTTTCCTAAGAACCAGATGGTGCATAAATGGCAGGTAAGTGCTTCATAATGTGTTCTCTATTTTTGTTTTAACATAAATAGTATTGATATACAATGAATATTGTTTTTCAGTATATTTGCTTGCAAATTTTCTATGAATAATATATTTATGCGCTACTAATTATTACTTGGATATACTTCCTGTGTATGGTTTTGTTAGTGATGTTAATTAATTAGGTATTAATTATTATCAGATTTTCATGTTCACTCATTTGACATAATTTCTTCAATCCAAATGACAGTAACATTTTCAAACTTTTGTGGTTGATTGAATTTATTAGATGCTCGACCTTTACAGTAGTTCTTAAAAACCAGTTTTATAGAGGCTCTTTCAGTGTACCGTGAATGGTCTGCTGATATATCAGGGGCCTTCTTAATTAAATAAAGTAGTGTGGTACTTTTCAGCAAAGTCGCTTTATGAGGCTAATGGAGGGGAGTACTTTTGGTTTGAGAGAAAGTCCCGTTGTGAGAGGAATTGAACCCACGACCCTAGGATTGAAAGGCGCCTTACCACTAAGCTACACAACTCCGCTCGTAAACATACAACAAATGATTTTGGATGGGTTTTGTATTATCCTATAAAATATAGTTTTAACATGACAACCAGAAGACAGTAAATTCACTGTGATTTATGCAAATTTAGGTTGGTGATTGATTTTTTCCATGAAATTAATCTATTTTTTAGGAATTATGTTTTAGATGCTTTCAATTATATTTCCTGTATTTTATAATTTGATTAATTATTTTTTTATATTTTCCACAGTGTCTTTGACCTGATTAATCTTCATTTGTTCCACGATGCTAGTAATGTTGTGGCTATGCAATCGGTACGTCGTCTCCATAACTATTATTAAAAATGACAGTTTTCTATCACATCCTGGGCCTCTTGGGATTTCACATTTATTACTCGCGTCATTGGAAGAAATGCCTATGGAATACATACTTCTCTCCTTTGGGAAATATTCTGTGATGTTGCAGCTAGTAGGCCTAATTAGTAAATTGGCATTTGGACTGCTGCAGTACTACTTACCCCCATGATAGAGAGACAATGTGGATATAATGCTCAATGACGCAAGCAAGTTGAGTCAGAATGCATCTTTCTGTAGTGTCAATCAAAATTGACCAATCAGAACAGAGCCGGGAATATGCACGTGTCCTGCAAACACACATTTTGTTCCACAAACGCACTTGATTACGTGCGCTTACGCTATTGTTTTGTGAGACCTTAGCAACAATATCCAAGTCCATTGAACCCTGACCTTATGGTTGAGTGACAATATTGCAACAGGTTCCATAATAAAATGTTGATATAATTACCAGATTTGTTGATGTTTAAAGCAAAATTTGATTTGATTAATCTAGTAATGTAGGTATGCAGTCAGTAAGCAATAGATTATTAGCAGGAAGGGAGACAATTTTTTTCAAATGGGTTCAACATGTTAAAATCCCAATGATTGTTTGGTTTTATTCTCGCAGTTTCCATCCACATACAGCAATAAAAGGAAGAAGGCTCTTCATGCTGTCTTAGAAAGGTGAGCTAATTAATGCAATTTTTTATTAAAGGATTTAATTGGCATTATTTGCATTATCATTGTTTTTAAAAAAATGTTCCATTATCTATCATCTTCATCGCTGATCATCATCATCATCATCAGTATCATCAGTCATCCATTATCATCACCATAATCCATCATCATCATCATGCTCATCGTCATCATCATCATCCTCATCGTCATCGTCATCATCATCACCATCATCATCATCCTTATCATCCTCATCATCATCATTCTCATTATCATCATCCTCATTATCATCCTCATCATCATCCATCATCATGCTATCATCATTATCATCATCATCATTATCATTATCACCATCATATTAGGCAATTCAATTTTTGATTATTTTTTATTTTAAATTTCATTTATGTGGCATTATCTCTTATTGCTGTTATTAATTAATCATCATAACTGGTTATATTCTGTATGATCATCATAATGATATCGCTCCTAAAGTCTCAGAACGTTGTGTTATTATTGTAGGTTAGAGACTGATGAACATGAAACGGTGCCATACTTTGTGTTTGGAGATTTTAATTTTAGGCTGGATACGCATGATGTCGTCAAAGTAAGTCAAATTTAGGTTTTTTATGCATAATTGTGTTACATGCAGAAGGGCAACACAGCAGCAAGTATGTCTAAAATGGGGACTCCAGACGCTTCATGAATGAACACTTACTGAAAAGGCATACACATGTAGTTAAAAAGTGACAACAAATAACTTCATTCGTTTGTCAATTTTTTATGGGGGTTCTTATATGCAATAATAATTACATACTTTTCTCTAAAATTACGAAGGTATTTAACAAATTATATACATGTTCCCTCTGCTGTGCCAAAATATGAATATGTAAATATGTATACATACTATTGTTATTTTCCTGTATATGTTTGTATATTATAGCAACCAACTATTATATAACAGTTCTTGAACAAAAAAGAACAAACTATAAACTGAGTACATATTTCATGTACAAACCAAACAACATATATTTATAAAAGGAAGTTAATCATTTCGGCATGTTATTTTTTGCATGTTTTCATAGCACCATTGCATAGGAAGAAAATAACAATATTATCTGATGCTCTCTATTACTGGTTTGATCGGGATTTGACCTCTGAAACTATTAAAATTTACACAAAGTTAATGAAAATATTTTCATTTTGCAGGCACTTACAGCATCTGCCTCCGGCGAGTACACAAAGGAAAACAACGATATAGTTAAGGTTGTCTTCACTGAGAATGGGAATTCGGGCAAGGTAAACACATCAAATTTAACAGCACCAAACATTCCCTAAGGGATGTTAATGTAGCATTATATTGGCTGTCAAAACATATATCTCATGACTGACATGCAGTTGAAGATGGTAAATAATGTTGACGGCCATATTATTTATAGTTTAGATGATATTATATTAGTCTTATATTGTGCAATCTTTCAGACCTTTTATGTGGCTTCCAATCTAGGCAAGCCATTGGATCAATCAACATGGGCATAGACTGGGATGTGGGAAGGGCATCCTCATGGCTGTAAATTAGTCTTTACTAAAGTACTAAAGATGACTCTTAGGTTTTCATTGGAATGGGGATTTATTTACGGCATTCTAAATTTTTGCTACTCTCCCCCCTCCCCAAGGCCAAAACCAGCATACACCCCTCAAGAGTATTGTCCTGAGCTCACTAGGTAGAGTATTTCGTGAATATTGCAATTATCCAATTGGCATTCAATCACCTTTCTTTATATAATTGTTGATGCAATAAAACATCTGTTTTTACTAATACATTTTTTATGTTATTTATGTATATAAACAGCCTATATTCCCAAAGAGAATGAATATTATAATGTACACATTCATTCCAATATTGCTCTGTCACAGGCTAAATTATTTTCTTTCATATTCCCTGATGTTTGACATACATATGTGCAAGTTAAACTACCAGATGGCTTTTTTTCTTTCTCATTAATATGTTCATTTTCCTGTATTCATATTCTGTCTATTTACCAGGTTGTTTTAACGCTTGAGAAGAAGAAATTTGAGGCTACTGAAATCTCCCCAAATAAGGCAAAATGGGTGAGTATTTGGAACTAAAAAAGCAAGCAGTTTTCAACCACGATGAATTCAAATATTCTTAGGTTTGATTGATGTTGAAGCCAAGCTACGGAGGAAAAAAAATTTGTTGATAGGTTATAGAACTGATTTTTCAGAGACACAAAAATGGTATTTGATCTAAAACTTGGGAATGGTAAATGAGATACAGATTTTTGAATACAGTATTTAAAAACTGGGGGAAAAAATTGTGCGTAAACATGGGTCTTTTTTTTCCACCTCGCTTTAAGAGAATGATACTAGTTTTTTTAATCAAATGCTTATGTACATCTTTCGAGATGAGTAGGGGTTACCCCGGTGTACTGGTTCACTCGGCCTCTGTCGTGGACTGTTTTATGTGTAATAAAAAAAGTAATTTGTTACTGTAGATGAAACCCAGTATAAAGAACAAATAAATAAATTAATTAAAAAAAACAATCTTGTCTTTTTTTTTATCACAGTTGTTACAGTTTGATAAAGAGGCTGCTAGTTTCTCTGATCATTTCTTAGAGTTTGATAAGGATTTTGCACCAAGGTGAGAAAATTACTTCATAATACTGGATCATCCATCTAGCTCAAAGGGATTTTTAAAACCAGAGAACAAAAGCTTAGATTTGTGGCATTTATTTGTAATTTTTATTTATTATTTTTGTTGTTTATTTTATTCATTCAATATTTACTTTACAAATATTACTAAAATGTGTATTTTTCTGCATTATATTTCTGCATAATGTTTCTCTGTAACACTGGATGGGACCTTTCAGGTTTTATCTCTTTATCGACCACACTTTAAAGTGTGTGTCTATTGATTCCCTTTTCTGCAAACTAAAAATTATGATTAAATATTTATCGTAACAGCAATCTAAATTTATTTTCTATTCTATTAATGCAGTTTAATGCATAAATTTGTTTAATTATTAATTACTTTCATCATAGACCACCATTATCATGATCATCAATGTTGCAAATTTATTCTTTATTATTAAACGTTTTAATATATTTTTTACCAAACCAAAAACGAAAAAACTTAGTTATTACAACACCAGTTGTATTGTATTGTTTCACTAGTTATTAAACTGAATTCCTATTATCCTGATCTTATTCAATATCCTCTCAAAATCAGGATTGATGTAAGACTGGTGTAAAAATCGCCACTGCCGTTAATATGATTGATTTGAAATACAAACAGTATATAATTTTTTACTTTAATTTTTTTATATATAATAGTATAATTGAAAGAATTATGCATTAATAAAAATGAATGATAATATCTTATATAATAAACATTTTTTAAATTGTCCACAATTTTTAGTTATCCTTACAGTGAGGATGTGAACGAGGGTGGTCATTACATGCAGACGCGTGTCCCATCGTGGTGTGACAGGGTCTTTTTTTCTAAATCTGCAAATGGGTCCTTGATAACGGTAGGATAGTTTATGTATTTATTCAAAATTATTTTTCATTATGAAGATAAATAATTGTGAAGATAACAGTGATGACAACAATGACAGTATTTATACTTATCATGATGATGATGAATTAGGTGATATTAATATTAATGATGATAATGATGACAAATATTAGCAACTATAATGATAATAGTTATGACAGTGATAGAGATATTTATGGTGAAGATGATTGATAATATAAAATGATCTTCATCATAATTAACAAGTAGTTGATGATGATTGAGGACAATGATGAGTACAAGGATGGTGACGATTATCACGGTAATGACTATACTGACAAAGATATAGATATTTATTGTGATGATGATTAATGATGGTGGTGAATATTTTTGCATTTTTTAGAATCCAGACAATAAAGGCGAGTACCAGGTGATTGGAGCCGATGTGTGCATGGGAGATCACAAGGTGAGTATAAATGTCAATCAATCATAGACAAACAGGCTATGGTTTGGCATTGTCAAAGCCCAGTTTATGTAATGTTGATGAGTAAATATTCTTCTAATCATCCATGTAAAGGTAGAACTATAACATGTATGTGAAGAAGGCTATGGTGTGACATTGTCATGGTTAAAGTATATCATTTTAATGAGAAAATACTCTTCTAATCATCCATGTAAAGGTACCATGATAAATGCGTTGAATATATTTTGACCAAAAAAAATTGTTTTCCAAGCACAGTGGCATTTGAAGATCATGGTCAGTCAGAAATTATTTTTTTAACTATCGCCCTCGGCCTGGTTCTAGGAAAACCTTGAATTTTGAAGAACTTAAAGGTCATTAAAAGACACCTCAGAAGTTGGGAATGCTCATTTCCGGCCATTTAGGAATCAAAATTTTCTCGGGGATGAACCCCGAGAAAATTTAGGTTTTTGGAAAAAATATCATATAATGTATACACATTATTAATAATTTTTTTTTATACATATTTTTTTCTATTTCAGCCTGTATATCTTCACTTCTCTTTAGTGAATGCAAAAGGTAACCTCAGCAATAGTAACAATAGTGACACTGGTGTTTCATGTTGTATAGTCTTGTGACATCTGTCCACTACCTCTTGTGTGCAATTGTGTGTACAGCGCCCTCACTTGGTGTAAGTCGCCCACTATTAACTCTTGCATGGTTCATCGTAACTTCTCATAATATTTCGCTAGATTCTTTTTTTAACTTTTAATGTTGTTGATATATAATAATTCAATAGTTCCATTTCATTGTTAATGCAACATTCAAGATTTATGCAAGTGTTGTAGTTATTTATATTTATTTATATAGTTAGTTCCTCATGTTAGATATATGTTGATATTATTTATTTATTTATATAGTTAGTTCTTCATGTTTCCTATTAACTTTAGTTTCTTTAAGAACAGAGTACTGTATATTTATTATTTAACCTCTTGTCTATCAATTATATGTATATTTAGTACATATTGAATGTTGTTAGAAATTTGCTATACCATATTTAGGCTATTTTTAGTTTTAGATATGCATTCATTACTTGCAGCTTATTGCACTATAAATAAATACAACTTTTATTTATTGTGTTTATTTGTTTAGGTATTTTTACTATTCCTTCATTATTTTGTTTAATTTATTTACATATTTTTAATATATTATTTATTTTATTATATATTATTTTAAAAGTCTTCTGTTTGACTCTTATACACATCTAGATGTGTATAAGAGACAGCGCGTGTCCCGTCGTGGTGTGACAGGGTCTTTTTTTCTAAATCTGCAAATGGGTCCTTGATAACGGTAGGATAC